TGCTCCTCCCTGGTCCTGATGCCTGGCCAAGCTCAAGTGCCCTTGCCAAAGCTGAAGGCTCTGCTCCACCAGGCATGTGGTCTGGGAAGAGGTCATGGTGCTGAACACAAATGCTTGATCTTTGTGCACTGGAGAGCTGCAGAAACTGGCCGTGCAGCCTCCCACTGTCCCCTGTCTGCTGGAGGAGTGGGGTTTGGTGTCCCCTCCATGCCTGCCTGCCTCTGAAGAGCCAGGCACAGAAGAGAAGTCTGCTTTGAAGACCTGTCTGGTGTTCTCCGAGCTGCTGTGGAGAAGAACTTCATGTCTTTTCTGTGCCAGCCCTTGCCAGAGAGCCAGTGCCTGCCTCTGCAGTGGATGCTGCAGCAGAGGATGTAAGAGGATGTTTGAAAGCATTTAAAGACCTGTTCCCATCCCACAGCATATGAGCAGGGCTGCTTGTGTAGGAGATGCAGGGGACAGGCTGGCAGTAAGAGGCCTCAGAGCTGCAGCAAGGTTGCCGGTGCTGGGAAAGAGCAGCTGGACCTACTTGGTGCCACTTGCTAATGGGAGAAGCTCCACGGGGCCCCCATCTTTTACCCCCATTTTTACTGGGGTAAAAATCATCTCTTTCTACATTAGATGTGCACATGTGCCCAGGTTGAGCTGGTACTCTGTGCTCCCTTAGTGGAGGTGTCCTACAGGATGGAGCCCTCCCAAACTAGGGCGTGCTTTCCTCCATGGCACTGATGGAGTGAGCAGGTGCTCCAGCGAGCCTGCAGGAGAGCCTGGGGGCTGCCACATGTCTGGTTTGGCCGGGAGAAGGATCGTGCAGGTAGGTGGCAAATGGAGCATATTGGAAGACCCTTGGGCCAGCATTCAGGGCACAGTTTAAAACCAATTCCTTGTATGGGCAGGGCAGAGGAACCTGCAGCTTGGGCAGAATCACAGGAGCCACCTGCCCTCAAGCAGCGTGCTGCTGGGGGAGAGGCTGGTACTCACTGCTCTGGTGCCCAGACTGGGGCTGGGGCAGTGGGATTAGTCCCCCATGGTGAAAACTGCAATATCAAAGTGTCTTGCAAGTGTTGCCTGGTACGGAGCCAACGAGACGGCGGCAACCATGATGAGTGGATGTATTTCTAAACCATTGCCCATCCACTAGCTGGCCTTCTGGTGTTGGCACCAGCACATCAGGAAAGATGGTGCACACATGGACACAGGTACAGTGTAGCCGTAATCGCCCCCAAATGAACGTCTGCAAGGTTGGATGGAGCTCTGAGCAACCTGACCTAGTGGTGTCCCTGCCAATGCAGGGGAGTTGGATCTGGATGATCTTTAAGGTTCCTTCCAACCCAAACCATTCTATGATTTTATAATCTAGCAGAGAAGCAGGTCCCTGTGATTGTGCCCCCATTTGATACCACAATGCCTTTGGTGACCAAACCCAAGTCCTCTCTTGCAGTGTGTGATATAAAGACTCAGAAAGGGAACAGGATAACCCTGAAACCTGCTACTTGGCTTTGTGGTCTCCAGCATATGTTCTCTGCACCAGACAGATGGCTGTGGGCTTTCCCTGGAGAGGGAGGGGTAGGAAATAAGTCTGTTTTGGTCCAAATAGATACCATGGTTCTGCGCAGATGGCCGTGTGTCCTGAGCACTGCTGGCTGAAAGCTGTCCCTGCTTTATGCTGGGGAGCAGGCTTGGAGGAAGGTGGTAGTCCTGCACACAGCTCAGCCTGAGGGCTGCCTGCCCTGGTATCCTGCTCTCTGAGCTCCAGGCACAGAGTGGGGCCACAGCTGTGGCTGCTGTCCCCAGTGTCACAGTGACAGGAGGGCAAGATGTGTGACTGCCATCTCCAGTGCTGGCCTGCAGCAGTAGGAATGGTGGCATTGGTGGTAAGAAAGAAATGCTTCCCATGGGATGGCAAGCACAGACTGAATTGTTTCTGTCCAATAACTGCCCAGTGCCAGCAGCAGGGGACCAAGCTGCTGCACGGAGTGCCACAGCTCAGGGTATCCCCAGTGGCAGTGCCCGAGTCCCACAGTGGCTGGTGGGATTATCAAGTGGGAGAAAAAAACCCCAAAGCTTTTCTGCTGTCAGACTTGCTGCTCAGGAACTGCCAACCAATGTTTACATCTTGTTGTCTGTGCCCTGGAGTCCAAAGCAAAGTGAGCTGCTGGCACTGTCTGGGAAATACTGCTTGGGCCAGTAGCTGTGACCCCAGGGACAACAATATCTGCAAGAGGAGAGGAGCAAAGCACAGAGGTGACTCTGGTCTCTTGTCCTGGGAGTGCTGCTGCTGCCTGGCTGGCTCTGGAGGAACAGGAGCCCTCTGTCCTGTCTCTGTGTCCAAGGGGTTTGTGTATATGCTGCCATGGCATCTGTCCTCAGGTCCAGGAGCTGGTGGGCCCTGAGTGTAGCAAACAGCCTGGCTGATTGACTTTTCTTTGGAGGGGAGGGGCTGAGAAGAAAGTGTTGGTTTCCTGCTGTACTGTGTGAATCTGCCCTTTACCAGGGGTGTGCCCAGGTAAGTGCATCCAGGCAGAGGCTGTCTGGGGCACCAGGTTCCTCAGAGGCGTCCTGGCTGCCTCTGCAGCACGGGGTTTATGCTGCCTATCTGTGTGCCTTGCAGGCTCTGAAAAGGAAGCCAGACCTCTTCCTATGTAGCAACCTGGATGTCAAAGCCGTGTTCCAGTGCGGTGAGTACCACGGGCACGGGCACAAGCTCCATGTGGCTGTGGGGAGATGCCAACCAGCTCCTGCTGAGGAGCTGGGCACAGACCAGCCAGGGGCTGATGGGGGGTGGTGCGCAGGGTTTCTCTCTGCTAACCTGAGCACCCTCTGCCCACAGGTGTCCTTTCGCTCAAGTTCCCCGAGGCCCCAACGGTCAAAGCGTCATGTGGCTTTTTTGTGAGTATCATGGCATTGTGCAGCCCTGAAGGGATGGGCTGCAGCCCCCCCCCGGGGAGGGGGCCACGGGTTGGACAAGGGCGCTGCAGCGTGGAGCTTGCGATGCACTGAGGACGATGAGTTCTGTGTTGCAGACGGAGCTGCTGCCCCGCTGCGGAGAGATCGCCCCGGTGGGACAGGTTGTGCACGAGAACGGCAAAGTGCTGCTGCAGGCAGTGCTGGAGGTGAGGGACGCGTGGGTTCCCTGGGCGGCTTTGGGCTCTGTTCCCGGGTGGCAGCCCTGCGGGAACAGAGCTGCTGGGGGCAGAAAGCCCGGCAGCGTGGGTGGGTGCAGGCGGGCTTACTGCCTGCTGGGCGCTCAAGAGGGGTCTGTCTGCTCTGTGGCAGGGTGTTGGTGGCCAGGCCTCCCGCAGCCTCATGGATCACTTCGCAGAAATCCTCTTTGCCTTGAACAAGCACTGCTTCAGCTACCTGAGCGTCTGGATCAAGGAGGCCATGCAGCAGGATGGCTTCCCCTCAGCCCGCGTCACCCCTGAGCAGAAAGAGACCTTCAGCCAGCAGATCCTCAGGTCCGTGCGCCCTCCCTCTGGGGGCTGTGCCCCACTCCCACGGGGAGCGGCCCTCCTGCATGGCCCGGTGTGTCCCTCTGCTTCATGTTTGTCCCCTCCCTCTGTCTTAGCAGAGAGCGTGTGAACAAGCGGCGAGTGAAGGAGATGGTGAAGGAGTTCACCCTGCTGTGCCGAGGGCTGCACGGCACGGAGTACACTGCAGACTACTGAGCACCTGGCCAGGACCGCGGACACTTTGCCCGGACCAGCTCTTCCCTGCAAGGAAACCCCTCCCCATCCTCCCCACCCTGCTGCAGTACGGCTCGTAGAATAACCAACCCTCCACCTAGAATTAACCCAATCGGGACGCTCCTCAGCTAGGTTTGGTGGCCGCATCTCGGTGTCAGCATCTTTGTTTCCCCCAGCATGCTCCCCCCTCGCCGGGGACAGGAGTGCCGGCTGCAGGAGGTGGTGGCTGTGGCTGGAGTGGAGGGGGAAGTGGAGCCTGGGCAGGACTGCCCCAGCATGGGCTGCCCCCTGCCAGGGCTACCAGCTCTCCCATGGCACTTCCCCATGGGTGCCCGTGCCCCGTGGCAGGGCAGCTGCCCCTCTGCCTGTGGCAGTGACTGATTGGGCAGGGAGGGGTCACTCCCTGCTCGTTTGTTTGTATGTGTGGTTGGGAGGGGGGAGGCCCTGCACCTAATTATATTAAGAATATTTCTATGTTGTGGCTGTCATTATTGCAATGCCCAGACTTGGCCTGTCCTCTGTCTCTGGAGAAGAGCCTGGCAGAGGTCTCAAAGCCTCCTGTCACCCCCAGCTTTGAGGCGGATGGTGAAAAGCAGCCCCCCCCTGTCACCATGCCCAGCATGGAGCAGCTCATGGAGCAGAAACAGTTCTGCCCCACACAAAAGACCACATCCCCAATAACTGTGGGGTCTTCCCTGCAGCATGGGATGTGTGCATCCCACTTCTGTCCTCCTCACCTTTGCCTTGGTTCCCCAGCCCGTGAACAGTTCGGGGGGGGGGGGCCCAGTTGGGCTTTTCTGTTCTCTCAGGCTGGCTTCAGCCAGTGTGCAGGGCTGCACTCCCTGAGTGGGCACCACAATCTGTTTTTATTCTGGGATGCCTGGTATCACCTGTATGTGCTCCTCAGCTTGTGTTTTATTCTAGAAGACAATTCACTAACACATCCTTTTCAGTTGAGCTTTAGTTAGCAGCAGTAGCCCACACAAGCCTCAAGTTGGCTTGTGCAAGGCTGTGACCTTTCCAAGTAGGGCCAAACCTGCCCCAGACTGGGGAGCCCTCAGAGGCTGGGGCTGGGCCAAGCAGCTCTTTTGGCCCTGCAACTGTCCTGGCCACAAGTTCCGGGGTGCTGTGGGAAACCCAAAGGATCCCCAAACACACCAGCAATTCCTGTTCTCCCACCACAGCACTACTGACCCAAGGCTATATCCAGCGTAGGGCCAGCTGGCAACAGGTCTGGACCCTCCTGAGACCCTCGCAGGTCCAACAGCTGGTGTCAGGCAATGCCTGGGCCCCTGCAGGCCTCCTGTTCCTGCCAGATCAGGGTTGCTCGTGCCTCTCGTCCTCATAGGCAATGGCAATCCCTCGTCGGCCCTGTACAGCCTTGGAGACAGGTGTCTGTCCCAGCTGCTGCTCCAGGCCCCGCCAGCTGCGGAACTCCAGGAAAGAAGCTGGGAGGAGAGAGAAAGGGAGTCGTTACTGGGAGTGGGTGACAGTGCCGCCCCTGCCCCAGGGCTCAGCCCCACCATGGAACCAAATCACCAACCGGCTGGGCTGATCTGGGTGAGGGCCCGTGTCTGGTCCCTGCAGGCCAGGGCAGTGCTGGGGGGCAGCTGAGGGGCCGGGGGGTCGCAGAGGCAGGTGACGCGCATCTCCCCCGTGATCAGCGAGACGTCGGGAACGGCCTCTGCCGCGGGGACGGCAGGCGGGAGCTCGACATGCGCGCAGGCACCTGCCGGGAAGCAGCGACATCAGCCTGGTACTCAGGCCTGTCCTCTGATCAGTGTGGAGCAACCACACTCTCCAGGCAAGGGGGCAGGAGGGTGTTGTGCAGCTGTTTTCCAGCCGTTACCTGGCAGCAGGTCTCGGAAGTCAGTGAGGTAGTTCCCTGTCCATTCACGGGCTGGGTTGCAGGCCAGCTCCAACTCATAGGGGGTCACAACAGGCCGGTAGAAATCACTGGAATCCAGCAGGGAGTTCTGAGCGCAGGCCACCAGGACAAAGATGTCCACTTCCAAGAAGTTGGCCAGCTTGGCAGGGTTTGGCTTCCCCACAGCCAGCGTGTAGCTGCGCTTGCCGGCTCGGCACAGAAGCTCCCGGAGGTGCTGCAGCACAGCCAGGTA